AAATATCCAAACAATCCAATTTAATTTAGGGTTGACAAAAACGAGCCAACTTGTCGGGTTGGCTCGTAACCCGTAAAAAATGAGCCGGGTTGGGTTGGCAAAAACGGGCTGCCAACCCGATCCGAGTCAGCTTTTGAAAAAATGAGCCAACCCGCGGGTCAAACGAGCCAGCTCGCGGGTTGATATATTTCTTTTTTTATAAAAAAATACAAAATATAATATACAAAAAATGGACAAAACTCACACATGATGTCATCATTTTTCTTCCTTCTCTAAACCTAAGTCTCTAATCTTCTCACATCCCTGCCATTTTTATACTCTTAGGTTGTGCTGGCTCTGTTTGGTTCAAATATCTTACCCACTTGGTAGCAAGTGATTCTAATTGTTTCTTGATGTTGATGCAAATTTGTTGTAAATAAAATTCGAAACTAAAATATTTTGCTTTTATTTCTCATTTTGTAACCCTTTATTTAAGCTGATGGTAGCCACATAGTTGTGCATTAATACTACAGTGTCATTTAAATAGGTTGAAAACGAGCCAATCTGCGATAAATTTTTTAACCAACCCGCGAGCCAATTTTCGAACCAACTCGCGAGCTATTTTTTCAAGTCAACCCACGAGCCATATTTTTGAGTCAACCCTAACCCGAGTCGGGTCGGGTTGGGTTGGGTTTTCTGGCTCGTTTTTTTCGAGCCAACCCTAACCCGGCTCGTTTTTTTCGGGTTGAATGCAGGTTGGGTAGTGTCGGGTCGGGTTGGTCCGTTTTGCCAACCCTAATTTAATTGCATTGCATTCTCCTCAATGATTTTATTTTTTTATAACATTAAGATGTTTGAACAAAGTCTTATTGCCTATCAAATTAATGGTTAGGAGAATATTTCATCTCATATATTAAATATTTAAACATAGTATATATATAAATATATATATATATATTAATGCAATGTAATTGTCATATTTATGGTCACAATTTTAATAAAAAAAGTTCGTAAGAAAAACGGGAAATTATCATTTTAATTGATGAACGTTGATCTACGAATGAATGACTGGAATTTTTTATATAACATATCACTGAGAAAGAAGTTTAAACTTGATAGAGAAGGATTTATTCAATCACATAGTTTAGGCTCCTAGAATATAACGCGCCTAGCTATTATGTTCGCACTCATGCATTTGCCGGTAAAGCACGTCCAAAGTGATGCGCGCTTTCATACATAGAAAAGAAAGAAGGACGCCCGCCTTCAACTCATCATATGGCTATGCTTATGCGCGAGAACTTGATACAATCATGAAAGAGCATTTCGAGATGGAAGCAAATACTTCTTGATTGTGCAAAATGAAGGTATTCTTCATTGCGAGTTCTCCAACATATCATTGATTCATAGTTGCTATGTACAAACACTTTGATTCAAATAAAATGAAAAAAGGAGAGAGAAAAGAGAAAGGGCCCTTAATTTTAGGTTAAAAAAGGGTTTGGTTAATGGTTATTTAAATTTTCAATTATAACTTAATAAAGTAGCTGATGAGATGAATTTCACTTAAAATAACAATGTCCATTGTGTTATAAAATAATAATTTGTGGATGACTTGAATTTTTAATATGAATTTTGTAATCTCGGTATTAATGATGTAAGTATCCCTCATTTATAATTTTGTAACCACCATATTAACAAAACATTAATTCCCCCATTCATGATTGTAAGTATGGACGTTGCTTGTATTGAAAAAATTGTTGGTTAATGAAAATAAGAATTCCATATTACTTCCCTTTGATTTCTCTTCTTTACTCTTACTTTATCTTGTAACACATCTTTCTCTCATGTCTCTTTCTTTATTTTATAACACATTGCATTTTTTTTTATAATAATTGCGAACTTCTACTTATATATGAGTAATTTACTATTTTATATTGATAACTTCGTTTATAATTAATATAGCAGCATATGTACTACAAGTTATATTTTTAATGGAGTGGTGTTATTAACACCCAAAAAAATTGTGTTAAGCTAAAATTCATATTGGACAATCACAAACAACTATGAAGGTTAGTTAATTTACAAATGTCTTAAGGGGGCATTTGGTAGAGGAGAAAATTTTTTTACCAGAAAAATGTAATTACTAGGGATATGGTGGGAAATAAAGTTTGGTAGGAAAATTAAAAAAATGTTGTTTGATTGGCCAAAAATTTATCCGAAAAATTGGGTAGAATTTTATAAGTCTATATTTGGTTGAAAGTAAAATATAGGTGGGAAAATATGGTTAAATTACCACAACAACCCTTGCCTAAAATAAAATAGAAAAATATGATTTTAGTTTGCTATAGTTTTTTCAAACATCAGAGTCATTTTGGTCTCCTTGTTTGCAATCCTTTTTGGATTTCTCCATCTATCAGCAAATACCACCTTGTAGGTAGTATTATTCAACAATGTTTTTACACACAAAAAGCAAATACTAGACAAATGAGTTCCCTAGCAAAAAAATTTAAAACATGATACCAAATATGGACATTCAAAAATACCACTTCTATTTGCCTAGCTATCCTTAACAAAATCTTCTACCAAACATCTGTAATGGTTGTTTGACCTAATGGATTATGGAATGCGCGTTCAAGAGTATTGGGCCTTAAAGTAGGTCGGTTGTCAATTTAATTGGTTCCATCCAAGTAGTTATTCATTAGCTAAAGAATTGACCTAATATTAAGGGGTTTTAAACCATTTCCTATATCATAATAATCGATTGAGACAGCTTCCAACAATTTGTTATGAAGTTACAGGAACTCAAATATGAAGATAAAAATGAGCAAATTAATTGAAAGGACAAGAAGTAATAGCCACTTGTTAACGACTATTTTGAATATCTATGAATAACTAACCACTTTACACTCAATTGCAAAGAAAATTCAATCTAAGTATCTAACGCAACAAAATCACTAGATCTAATGTCAATTGATTTTCATTTATATCTTCTCTCTACATTTCCGGTTCGTACTTCCAGTATTTATTTCTCGTACTTTACCATTTTTTATTGTTTTCCTTTCTTTCAGCTATTTTGTATTGGGTTTCAATTTTCTCCGTGAGAAAATTTTCTCATGTTATAGACATATCTTGTGTAGGGTTCACATTTATTAAAAAAACATAAAATTAAAAGAAAATATTGCACGAAAATCGAATGGTCAATGATAGGAGAAAATAATTCTCCTACAACATAAGAAAATGTTTTCCCTTTTATATTTTGGTTTATCTTTACTATTCAAGTATTTTCTTTTCAGTTTTTAACAATTTATCATTATATCAAGAGGTGTAAATGGGCTAGGCTGACGTACAGGGAATTACGGCGTAGCTTATATTAAGCCAAACTTAGCCTATTACAAATAGTAAAATAGAACAAGCCTATGCTTTTAAAAAAAATCTATTTAGAAAATAGGCCATAGACTTTTTTGTACATGTCGGGCCTATAAGTCTATAGGCCGGCATATATCATATTATTTATTTTAAATAAAATAAATAAAACTATTATTTTAATAATTTTGAATAATAGAGTAATATTATTTTAGTTATTCTTGTAATTGTTGAATATTTAATAGGCTTAAACAGGCTAGTAAACTTAGGCCAAGATTTTTATTTTTAAAATATAGGTAAGGTCAGACTTGTAATTTGGGACATACACAGGCTAACAGGCCAGCGCCAAACCCAAGATTTTTTGCACAGATCTGACCTATTTAAACCAAAGTCTAACCTAACCTAACCTATCTACACCCCCTAATTATATCAAATTATTTTTTTTACCCAAAGCTAGCCTAACCTAACCTATTTACACCTCTAATTATATCAAATTATTTTTTTACGTGTTCGTTTCATTTAATATAGCTACTAGTTAAGTGGATAGCGATATATTTACCAAAAAAAAAAAAAAAAGTGGATAGCGATATTGTACAAAATAAACTAGGGTCTTAATTTCTTTACTAGTATAGGAACTCAAACTCGCTTTCGTAATGTATCACTTTAGGTAAAATGCAAAAAAATACAACTTTCCCGAAGTACACAAAAATCACTTTATTGTGTTTGTGGGGCTCAATATAGTTCCCCTTCGCCACAAGGAATATTTATAAGCAGCACATCAATCATGTGGGCAGCACGACTCATCTTAATTTAAATTTTAAGAATTTGAGTTTATCATTCCTTTCGCTTATATAGTTTTTTGTTAGTGTATCCTCAAATAATTTTACCCTCACACTTGAATTTCTTACACAATTTTCTAATACGATATGGACACCCCATAGACTTTGTTACCACATCACTATCATGGACAACACACATATATATGACTCTTCGTTCTCAAAGTTAGAACTCTTGTCACCATTTTGTACTAGATCACATGCAATTTGGGAATGAAATTAAACCAACAAAGTCTGGTTGGTTCTGACTTATTTAAGACATTTTGGAAAAATATATATATGCAACACTTACAAAATATAATGAAGGATTTTATTAATATCAGGTTAAAGGAGATAGTTATCTCATGTCATAGAGACAAACAAATGGACTCCACCACTCGAAAAAATAAAATAAAATAAAAGAAAAAGGTGACACACTTATCGATTGGTGTGTAAGAGAGAAAACTTATCTCATTATGACAAGCTGTCATAATGAATGCTCCTATTGACATGGAGTACTTAACAAAGTTAGAAATAGTAGTCTTTGCTCTTTACCATTTGGTTTCTATTTGGGCAAAGTGGAGACAGCCCTTTCATTGTTAGCTGTTATAATAAAATACTAGTTGTGTTATCAATTGAACCTTGGAATTAAGATGGGGACCATGTAAGCCAATATCGCTGAACATGACAATAACCAAAAAGAGTTGAGGTACAAATAATCCTAATAACTAAATTTAAAGATGATAGTTTGAGGAAATTAAGTGATAAAGGATATTCATACATTCAAATAGTTAATAAAGTAAACATGCTCAATCTTTATATTAGAAGTTACAATGAAGTTCCCGCTTCCTCTTGTTATTTTCACAACCCAAATGCATTTATTCTATATAACTAAGTTCTCTGGTACACACACAAACATGACACAATGGTTTCTACACATACTTGGTACATTTGAAATTAAAATTCTTACCATCAAATTTCTCTTTTTGTAATCTTAACCTTCAAACCATGCTTCATAAGAAGTACAATGGAAAGGCTCGGGGTAGCAACATGACCTTCAACCACATGGACACGATAATTGCTCAAAATAGCAGTTGCCACGATCTTCATTTGAATGAAGGACAATTCTTTTCCCAAGCAAATCCTTGGTCCTGCATTAAAACTGATGAATTTGTAAGATGGTTCATAAACAATGCCTCCTCTCTCAGAGATCCATCTCTCTGGCTTGAATTCCAAGCAATCTTTTCCCCATGTTTCTTCAAGTCTCCCCATTGCATACAAAGAAAATAATATCATAGTTTTAGGATTAACAATGTGACCACTTGGAAGTATATCACCATTAATTGCTTGCTTGCGCTCAAAAGGAATAGGAGGGAAAAGCCTCAGAGCTTCACATATAGCACCGTGAAGATAAGCTAGTTTTTTCACCTCATCCACGCCTAAAACCCCTTGCTTAATATTGTCCCCAAAATTTTCTTTGATCTCTTCAAGAATCTTGGCTTCCACTAATGGGTGTGTAGCAACAAGCCAGAAGAACCAAGTGAGTGCTGAAGCTATAGTATCTCTCCCTGCTACAAAAAGATTGAATGCTGCGTCCCTTAGAAACTTGTCATCATGTAATTGTCCTTTCTCTTCTCTCATCAAAGCTGTAAGCAAGTCAACGTGAGACTCAGCCGTTTCATTTTTGTTGTACTTGCTTAACTCTTCTTGCTTTGACGCTATACATGCATAAAGGAATTCATCAAATGTTTTACATGCTTCTGTGACCTTCTTCTCTGGACCTATTTGAAGCCACTTCTGCAACTTCCAAACACTTTTTGGCACTGTGTGTCTGTAGAATATACACTCCTCTGCTTCTGTAAAAGCCTTCTCGCATTCAACTTCTGGGAAATCAATGGAAAGACAATTAGGATCATGTCCAAGAACTATGGAGCATATGTTATCAAATGTGAAACGGTTGAACACATCTTGGAGATCCACCACAATCCCTTGTCTTTGAACATGATCCAATATTGGAAGCAAGCTTCTCTCAACCTTATTCTGAATGGTTTTCACAAGAAACACCTCAAAGCCTCTCTGTTTAAACAAAGAATGGAACAAAGACCTGTTGTATCTCCATGTATCTGAATCAGCAGTGAATATCCCATGTCCGAAAGGTTGAAAAATCTCACGAAACTCTGACCCTTTAACGTAGTTGTCAAAGTTCTTGCTGAGAATGTGGTGCACGTTGATGGGGTCACAAGTGATCATATAGTTCATTTTGGTGAACCAGGGTCCTGTGAACTCACCAGTGCAACCTTTTCGTTTCAAAATATCGGTTACAAAATCATGGATTCGGGACAAGTTACATAGGAGTTGTGGTAACATACCAAGGAAAGGCCAGTCTATGAGTAAGGGGTGTTTGGAACATCTTCTTCGATGGAAGATGCATAAGAAGCAGAGGAATGCTGCAATTATTTGTGCATAGGCAATCATGATGGCCATCGCAAAACAAGGATGACTATTATTTTCGTTTGTCGGTATGACTCGTTATAAAGAGGCAGATATTTTTTATTTTGTTTTTGTTTATTTGCTCATATGTTAGCCCCAGAAGATGATGTTTACTAGCCACTCGATTTGGTCCACCAATTGCATTTTAAGTAGGATATGAGATACGTCAAATTGAATGAGAAAGAGATTTAGGGTATTTTTTCCGGTGTCTGTCTTTGGATTAGGTGCCTGTCACCTTCTAATTAAAAATTTATATGCATTGCTCTCTGTATTTATCTTTTTTTTAAATTAAAAAACTGTTATTGGATGCATAAATCAATTATCAACATATGTTAGTTTAAATGAAAAGGTTTTTAATTACTTATTATAAATTTAGGCTTTAATGTTCTACGGTGAATGTAGATAAGTTATCTACATTCGTTAACAAAACGACGTCATTTTGAATTGAAAAATTAAAAAATTATAATAAAAAAGACTATTATAATCCTGAAATGAATTATAATTACAAAAATACTTTAATTTCTGCCTCAAAACGACGTCGTTTTGAGTTTAATATAGATAAATTATCTACATTGACCGTAGAAAAAGAGAATTCATAAATTTATAACGCATATATGTGGAAAAAATAAAATAACTGATTTGGGGGAGTTTTCACCTTCGTCACTTGACGTTATTTAATTTTAAGAAACTAATCTCTTACTTGTCGTACGAGGGTATTATGAGAAATTTTTTTATAGAAATGAAATCAACCCCTATTTCGTTATTAAATTTTTGAAGCACTTTCTTATTTAATTAAATACTTCTTTTATGCTCACAAAAAAATACTTCTTTTATGAAAAGCTGTTGGCGGAATATTTAAATTTTCTTTTTATCCTATAAATTTAATACATATTAGGGATAAGGATAATATAATATTTAAATTCTATAACAGCTTGTGTTTTTATCTCATCGATTCATGTTAGTTGCTTAGTTAGCTTCTTTTTCTATCCTTATCTATTAGTTGCTTAGTTTTTAACAAGTAAGGGAAATTATTCTCTCATTTTACATGAGATAACTATCTCATGATACTCTCACATAAAAAGTTGTGTCACTATTTTTTTTTCTTTTTTTAATGGGTGATGGGTCCCGCCACATCATGTGTCTATGGTAAGAGATACTTATCTTCAATAATATGAGAAAAATAAAACCCAACAAATAAAGATATAAACTGTTACATAATTCAAATATTATCTTATCATTATCCTTGATATATACTCCCTGTCAAGTTGAAGCATGGAGATTACCAATGCCCAAGTTCTAAGAAGTTATTAGTTTAAAATAATTCTTTATATGATATCCGAGCCAAAGTGACAATAGAATTACATGTTCAATCTCCACTCTTCCCAGTTTCTAGTGAAATTAAATTAGAACAAAGTATAAGCAACTAAGAGATAGAGATAGGATTAAAAGCTGTTAAAATAATTCAAATATTATCTTATCATTATCCCTAATACTTATTCCTAATAATATACTCAGTTTTTGAAATCATATTGTATACAACTTAAATATTATAATATTAAAAAATTTTACTTCATGTGATATTAAATACTTTCAATTAATGTTATACAAAACTTAAAAGGGAAATAATTTTCATATCACTTTTTCGTCGGCGGTTATACTTACTACTGAAAATTTTTACAACTCTTACTATTTAATTAATCATCGTTGATTTTCGTCAATCTAACTATTATAATTTATTAGAAATTAATAATTAATTAATAAATGTACCATAACCGTTAAATTGGCGGAAATCAATGATAATTAGTTTAGTAGTAATAGTTATAAAAATTTTCAGTAGTAAATATAATCTCTCCCTACTTTTTCCTTTAGCAAATAATTTTAATATCACTTTAAATTTTGAATATTTTATTTTGTCATTACAATTGATTAAAAGTTTAAATGGATATAAAATGTATCTTTACAAATTACATGAGCTAAATAATATTTTAATCTATCAAATACAATAAATTTGTATAACCAGAACAAAAGTTAGGGCACTATTAGAGGTATCAGTATCAGAGTAACAACAGTATTTGCTAAATAGAGCGAAAAGATATACATATATACAATCTTGCTTGCATGAGCTAAACTTACTTATAAACATTGATAATGTGCATATTTATTCTAATCCAAATAAAACCAAACATTGATAAAGTGCATATTTATTCTAATCCAAATAAACACAAACATGACTTCGACCATATGAATTGACACCTCCAGTTGCCAAGTTTGGAAGGCATTAGCTCTCTTTGCACTTGGAATTAGTTTTAAAATCGGCTTAAAAAGTTAAAATTTGTAGAGATATTCGAAAGAGCTTACTCACCTTAAAGAGATAATTATGATTGATATAAAAGAAACTAAATATTAAACAAACAGAGCATTTAATATTATATAAATTTAAAATGTATTATTTAATAATTTATTTCTTAAATAAATAAGAGGATTATTAAGATGATTTATTAAGAAAAGTATAATTTTCTTGGGTACAAATACAACGGAGCCAAATTGTCCTACATGGGCCGGGCCAGCAGACACGTAAGCCCCTTTCCCATTATGTTATTATGGAGATTAAATTTGGCCCCACAAGGGATTGGGTGGGGTGAAGGAGAGAGAGTGAGAGAAAAATTGAGGAGAGAGGAGAGAGGAGAGAGAAAAAAAATAAAAAATTCACGTGTCACTGACTCAATGGAAAGACCATGAAGGGACAGGACCATATTAAAAATTTCCGTTATTACGAGCCCATTCCTGACAGCTGGTATGTAAAAGAAAGAAAGTAACGATACACTGAATTTTTCGGCACAATAATTATTTAACTTTTAGGTTTTATTAATCTCATGTTAAAGGAGATAAATTATCTCATGTCATAAAGATAAACTTGTGGATTCCATCACCTAAAAAATGAAAAGAAAAAAAATAACCAAATTATCAAAGAATGTGTAAGAGAAAACTTATCTCATATAGAATGAGAATAGTTTTTCCCTTAATTTTTACTCATTAAATTATCAGGTAGATGATGGATTGTGACACTTCGTCAACAAGAGCCCAAATTTTCATATCACATCCAAAACTGGTTTTGGGCTTCACTGAAAAACATAGAAATATAACAAGAGTCAAAACATTCTTCACAGCAACGCAATCTTTAGCTTAAAAATTGCAACAGCATCATCTTTTTATGACCATATCAGGCCTCACATTGACTTGTTTTCTTGCTAGACAAATTCAATCATCTTTCAAAATTTAACATAATGTAGTTAATCAATACAATAGATTACAGTAAACTTAAATCAATAAAATTAAGAAATATGATATTATGCCTACATTTTTTTTCATGTCTACTCAACTCATTCATTTTAAATACTATTAGATCATAATATTAATTAATTTTCACTATTTCTCTTTTCTCAAATTCTGATCTAACGGTATTGGAGATATGTAAGAAGGGTAGACAAGAAAAATTTAGGCATAATATCTTATCCCACAAATTAATTAATAACTTTTAAAAAATGATTCAAAAGACGTAAATATTATTTGAGTTTAATGTTTCTTATGTTATAAGAGATAAAATTATTTTCTACACACACATAAAAGTGTATTGGGCCCATATGAAAAAAGAGAAAGAAAAAATATGGGTCTCACGTACTTTTATGTGTACGAAGGAGATAATTATATCTCCTAATGAGAGACATTAAACTCATATTTTTTAATATTAAATATTTACCCCATGAATCCCAAAAAAATATATATTGTACTAAAAAAAATAAAAACTTCCGTCAATGATCTTGCCCGCATGGTCAAAGTTAGAATTTTTTTAGTGGTAGAATAATAATAGGATTTAAATATTTTATGAATCTCTATTTTTTATCAATTATTAACTTAAGTCAAGTATATCATTTAAATTCTTCAGGTGTTTTGGTTGAGTTCATATACTCCAATTAATTTAAGTTTTTTCTTACTTAGAAAAAAGCTACTTCGTAATTTTTTTAAATAATATATATATATATATATATATATATATATATATATATATATATATATTGTATATTATAAAAAGCTTTATAGCTTATTGACCAAATTACTATCCAAAATTATGCTTCATAATCATATAAGTCTAGCTTTGATAAGATAAATGGATTACGCTTTAGAAAACAATTACTTATATTAAGAATTTAAATGTTATAAATCTAACATGAAAAAACTAAAATTATAATTGTTTATGTAATTACATGTAAATTTCACACACACAATAAAACAAATTCAACTGAAACATGGCACCATCACTTAATGATTTGCATCCCAATGTGGTGCTGTGCACAAGCATTTTCTTCCCCAAAAAGACGGTTCATGTGCTCTAGTACACGTTAATAGACTGAACATATATACTAGTCTTTTTTTAATAAGTAAACAGTATATTAATTCTCTCTCCTCACTCCATATTCTTTACAAACAGCGTTATTCTTATAACTTAAAAATTTTACAACCTTCTATAACTTAATTTTTTACCATTGATTTTCATAAATTCAACGGTTATAATTTATTAAAAATTAATAATTCATTAATAAATATGACCCAATAAATTATAACTATTGGATTGATAAAAATGAATGGTGAGAAAAATAAGTTGTAAGAGATTGTAAGAATAATGTTCTTATTTTTTATTTAAAAAAGCAACTAATAGAGTGAACATATATATACTAGTTTGTTTGTTTTTTTTAATAAGTAAACTTAACATAGTAGATTAATTCTCTCTCCTCGTGACTCCAGTTACTCCATATAGTCCATACAAAGCATGAGTACAAAACTAGATGAGTTGCACATATATCAGGACAAATATTTAAGCCTCTTAACTCCTTTGCGACCCGACATAGCATACGTTGCAGTATTCCACTATCACTATCAGAATTCAAAGAAGAGAAGCACCTCATTTAAAATTGAAGTTATGCAAGTTGAGATGATCAACACTAAGACGACGACGTCGTGTAACATCACATAGTAATAACGTAGGGCCATTTTCTCCTTCTAATGGGGTACGTTGCATATAATCACGTCACGTGTCAGACTTAATTTTTTTACAGGCATGCATGCATCCGTAGGCTCTCTTTTAATAATATTCACGGATTGAAAGTATTGACTGCAGACACAAGAAACCATCACTACGGAAATGAAGTAATCACCGAAGCAAAAATATCCAACAAAGTGTTAGGTGCAACAACAACTTTTTCAGAACTACAGGGGTAACTACTGACAAATTGTCTCTGGTATTTCGTTTTATAAAATTGGTCGAAGGGTCGAGGCATTGGAGAGAAATTTGAGGACCGACAGATAAAATAGCAGTTTGGCTGTTGTTAGTTTATATTGGCATGTTATTTTCTTGCTACACTCCACACTAATGACTATTCGACAGAGTTAAGTAACATTTGTGACCATGAAAAGTCTTATATCGGTAAGGGTAAGGGTATAATCACCGCCTGATTCAATATTATTTGATTTTAGTTTGATGAAGTCATATTCATATATCGCATATTGGATCATGTGTTTTACTTAAAATGTGGCCACATTATAAGAATTAGCCCTTAGCCCGAGAGTCATTTTCAAATAATTTGTTTCCTTTTCTCTTTTAAATTAAAATTTTACAATTGATTTTGACTTAATTGTAAGCTTCAATCTTGTAATTTTTTTTGTTTTGATAAAAATGGGTTAAGTCATGATCCATATGGGGTGTAGTATAAAGCTCATTTAATTAAGTAATCTTTTTGTTTAGACTTGGATATCTGTAAACTGATTATTGTGGGTAACAGTGTAGGCCTAACTCATAGGCTCATGATGGGAAGGGGACTAGGGTTAATAAGTTTGGCTAGGTCCTCTCTGCATTCACAACGTGTTAGAAAATCGTTACTCCACAACTCGCCCCATCGACGGTTGTGATCAGAGAGTGGTGTGAATTGTAGAGGAAGATCATGGTCTTTCCATTGCAGGAGCATTAGAGGAAACAAGAAGCCTTCAAGAAATCAAGAATCATGTCTTCAACAAGTAAGCCTAAATCTTTTTGGAGTTCTAATTTCATATAACCTATTTTATGAAATTTCTTACAAATAATGGTTAGGAAGATGTTTCATCTCATATATTATTTAAACAAGATATATCATGTAATTGTCGTATTTATGGTCACAATTTTAATAAAAAAGTTCGTAAGAAGAAGATGAAATTATCATTTTAATTGATAAACGTTGATATATGAATGAATGACGGAAATTTTTCATATAAAACGATCAGGTTAAAAAAAACATGAGAAAATTCATTTGGCAAATGCTATTGTATATAATCAATGAGGTGAATCCAGAATCCCCACTCTACTTCAGTAACTCTGACAACAAAGTATACCATATTCTTCTGTCAATTGAAGAGAAGACTTTAGAGGTGAAAAATCCATTTCTTAAAAATTATATATATATATATATATATATATATATATATATATATATATATATATATATAAGGTAGGATCCTTTGACACCGGTGTCAAATTTGAAATTTGACACCTCATCTGATAGCCGTTAGATCAAAAAAGATCAATGACTCTGATTTGTAAGCATGTGACACCATTGATCTTTTTTGATCTAACGGCTATCAGATAAGGTGTCAAAGGATCCTACCTCTCTCTCTCTCTCTATATATATATATATATGGAAAGGTTATACTTATTACCTATTTTTCTTATTATCTCTTACTACCAAATCTTAACCATTGATTTCCGCCAATCTAACGGTTATAATTTCTTAGAAATTAATAATTAATTAATAAGTATGATCCCATAAATTACAACCGTTAAATTAGCGGAAATCAACGGTTAGAATTTAGTAGTAAGAGGTAGTAAGTATAACCTCCCCTTACCAGATTGATTTTCTATCGATCGACTCTCTAATATTAAATGCTTTTAATAACTAAAAATAAATAATTTGTTGTATTTAAGTATATCAAATTAATTAAATTTCTAATCCCTTAATTGATACCTTAAGATCACCATTTAACAAATTTATTTAAAATGAGAAATAAAAACACAAACTAAAAGTCTAAAAATAATAAAGGATCCATACATCAGTTTACCAACAAAAAGAAAAAAGGGTAGATACATCATTAATATTAATGAAAATTAAAAAACCTAAACAAAATATTAGTCACACTACACGTTAACTAATATATCATTTAACAATATTTCTTCAGGCAAACTAACTACAAACATTATCATGCTAGCGAGTAGCGCAATGGATAGTACATTATTTAGTTATCTGATAGAAACAAACATGACAGAATAGTTTTCAGAAGTCTTCTTACATCTGAACCTGAAATTCTTCCTTCAAATTCTTCCTTCAAATTCTTCTTTTTGTTAGCCTAACCTTCAGACCATACTTCATAAGAAGTACAATTGAGTGACTCGGTGTAACAAAATTACCTTCCACCACATGAACACGATAGTTGTACAAAATAGCAGTTGCCACAATCTTCATTTGAATAAAGGACAAGTCTTTGCCCAAACAAGTCCTTGGTCCTGCATTAAAACTGATGAATTTGTAAGATGGTGCATAAACAATGCTTCCTCTCTCAGAGACCCATCTCTCTGGCTTGAACTCCAAGCAATCTTTTCCCCATATTTCTTCAAATCTCCCCATTGCATACAAAGAACATAATATCATTGAATTGGGATTAACAATGTGACCACTTGGAAGTATGTCACCTTTTAATGCTTGCTTGCGCTCAATAGGTATTGGAGGAAAAAGCCTCAAAGCTTCACATATAGCACCATGGAGATAAACTAGTTTTTTCACCTCCTCCACACCTAAAACCCCTTGCTTATTCTTCTCTCCTTCGTCCCCTAACTTTTCTTTGATCTCTTCAAGAATCTTGGCTTCCACTAATGGATGTGTAGCAACAAGCCAGAAGAACCAAGTGAGTGCTGAAGTTATGGTATCTCTTCCTGCTACAAAAAGATTGAATGATGCATCTCTTAGAAACTTGTCATCACGTACTTGTCCCTTTTCCTCTCTCATGATCATAGCTGCTAGCAAGTCATCAACGTGAGCTTCAGCCATTTCACTTTCGGTGTACTTGCTTAGCTCTTCACGCTTAGATGCTATACATGCATAAAGGAATTCATCAAATGTTTTACATGCTTCTGTCATCTTCTTCTCTTGACCAATTTGAAGCCATTTTTGCAACTTCCAAACACTGCTTGGAACTATGTGTCTGTAGAATATACACTCTTCTGCTTCATTAAAAGCCTTCTCACATGCAACTTCTGGGAAATCAATGGAAAGACAATTAGGATCATGTCCAAGAACTATGGAGCATATGTTATCAAATGTGAAACGGTTGAACACATCTTGGAGATCCACCACAATCCCTTGTCTTTGAACATGATCCAATATTTGAAGCAACCTTATCTCAACCTTCTTCTGAATGGTTTTCACAAGAAAAACCTCAAAGCTTCTTTGTTTGAACAAGGAATGGAAGAGAGACCTGTTGTATTTCCATGTATCTGAATCAGCAGTGAATATCCCATCTCCGAAAGCTTGAAAAATCTCACGAAACTCGGGTCCCTTAACGTAGTTGTCAAAACTCTTGCTCATGATGTGGTGAATGTTCATGGGGTCACTAGTGATCAAAAAGTTCATGTTGGTAAACCAAGGTCCAATAAACACACCAGTGCCACCTTGTGGTTTCAAAGCATCGGTTACAAAATCATGTATCCGCCACAAGTTACATAGGACTTGTGGTAAATTACCAAGGAAAGGCCAGTTTATTAAGAAGGTGGGGTTTCTACAGCATCGTTTCTGATGGAAACGATAGAGGAAGATGAGGAGTGCTATAAATGTTGCTGCGAAACGAAACAAGAACATTGTGAATCAAGGAAGTTTGTTCTTTGATATGTTTTATGATCACTTTATAGATGTGGCTGTTAATTATGCCATCCCCGTGTGTGTGTGTGTATATATATAGTGCAATTCAACCCACAATTAAATTATGAAAAAAAAAAATTATATTCACAAATTTTTTGTTTACAGACTTAATAATGAGTTGTAATGATACTATTCAATAAAATAATGTTTTATGCATTTTGTCTGATCATATGATCTGCCACGGTAACTTTTGTTCGTTTTGAAAACAAAATGCATAAATTGGACTAATTAATTAGCTTTTTTATACAGTTTGTCCAGATCGAGTTAGTACCTTTAATTGATACTTTGCTTTTAGCGGCCACTTCTGTAATGTGATAATTTACATACACATGTAAACATATTTTTCTTTGTAATAAAACATAAAATTATCTTCTACAACCCTAAAACAACGCTATAGTTTTGAGGTTTAAAAAAAAAAATAGGTATTTTAAAAAATTTATTTTCCTCTTCGTACGATGAATTCTACTAAAATATCTTGTATTTTGGTTTTTTTAAATCCCAAAACAAGGTTATTTTGAAGTTCAGGAGATAATTTTTTTTTTTTTTGGTAAACAGGAGATAATTTTATCTCTTGAGTTGTGATGAAAGAGAAAAATGTCTTCTTTTTTTTAATTTTAAAATTTGAATTTCCAATAACTTTAAATTTGACCATTTTCTTTTTATCTTTTTTAAATCTTGAATGATTTTATTTTATATAGATATCATTCAGGTTTGAATCTACAAAATTATTTAAAACCTCTTTTTTTTTTTTGGTAAACTATTTAAAACCTCTTTAATAGTCCATTTGCAATGGCTTAAATCTTCAATTTATTTAATTCTCTTTTTAATTAATACCAGTTTTGTGTTTTTTTTTTTTCAAGACTTTTGTTCCTTCTCTTCATCTATATTTTTTTAAAGTTTTTTCTTCTTGTCATTCGAATGTTTTTGTCCCCATTCTTCATTTTTTATTCTAGTTAACGGTTGCAAGATGATTGAACACCTCTAATAAATGAAAAGCCGAGAATTGATGTCGGAAAGAATAGTTATAATTAAGCTGGTATATATGCATATACGGATTCCACCATCTATTTTGAAGACAAACATGCATACCATCATTTTCAATATATATCACATGGCTTTCTGACCCTTTTGTCCTTCATTAATTAATTAATAATCATTTTATTTCTTATTGTAAATTAGCTATCAATCTGCCCATCTTTAGTCGATTAACTTGAAGATTTAATCGATTAAATGGTCAAAACTGACAAAAATAGTTGACTTGAAGATTTAATCGATTAAAACTTCAAATTAATCAATTAAAACTTCAAATTAATCGATTAAATCTTCCAAGTGTCGTTTAATAGTGTCAAAGTCCAATTGCCGCAAATGGAAAGACAGTGGTTGAGCCTCGTAGCCTTGACAATATTGATAAGAAAGACCGTGGTTCTGATGCTGGTGCTGGTGCTGGTTGTGTTTCTCCAACAGAAGTTAGAGCATCAGAAAAGAAGCTTATCCTCTTTGCTCTGAGGCTTGCAGTGCTTGAAAAAACAGCAACTGGCCTTGGAACTCTTGGTTTTATATGGGCAACCGTTGTTCTTCTTGGTGGTTTTGCCATTACCTTAGACAAAAGTGATTTTTGGTTCATCACCATCATTCTCTTGAGTGAGGGTACAAGGATTTTCAGCAGAAGCCGTGAACTTGAATGGCAACACCAAGCCACATGGTCTATTACTGATGCTGGAATCAATAGCTTTTGGATGTTGAGGTCCAGTTCTAACTTCCTCTTTCAAAGCATCAAAAGTCTTTGGAGGCCAATTGCCGCAATATATTGAACTTTGACACTATTAAACGACACTTGGGAGATTTAATCGATTAAGTAAGGAGATTTAATCGATTAAATCTCCAGTCAACCATTTAATCGATTAAATAATCAAGTTAATCGATTAAAGAGGGACAGATTGGTAGATAGTTTACAATAAGGGGCAAAATTGTTATTAATTAATTAATGAGGGGCAAAAGGGTCAAAAAGCCTATATCACATCCATCTAAAGTGATTGTAGCATTTATATATCTGAAAAACATTTTGAAAATTAACATGGATATTTTTATTACAGTATATCAAATCATATCACCTTAGAGTTCACTTAAGAAAATATTTCATGTATTTTTTATAGTAATAAACAAGGGTTTATTGTTTTTCCTACACAAGAGATAAAATCATCTCCTGTAAAGTCTGCAACTCCCAAAATTACGTCGTTTTAAGGGTTATAGAAATTAACGAAGAATATTTTAATAATTTTGTTTGTTTCTTTATTATATGAATTTTATAAAAATATCCTTCATTAATTTTCAAAACGACATAACTTTAAGATTGTAAAATAAATTATGGGTTAATAGTTTCTAATTTCTATTGTTGCAGAAGAAACTATTAACCTTCTAGGAGAGACAAACAAAAAGTAGGACCTACCAATTTTTAAAAAAATGAGAAACTTTTGATTGGTGTGCAGGAGAATATTATTTTCTCCCTCAACAAATTATTTTATATAAAAGATTATATATATATATATATGAAACAAATTTATTTTATATAAATATAAGAATAATAAATTTTACATCCAACATTGATGGATAATTTATTTGTATTTAAAATAATATCTTAATATGTATATCATTAATTTATTTATTTAACTTATTTGAAAGACCTGGTCTAGTGGTTAACCTATTTAAAATATGTAATCCATTTAAAGTGTAATAAGCTATTAAATAATGTAAATTCTTTTAGGAAGGTTATAATTACAATATTTTTTCCCTTATAATCACTTTTATTGTTGTTGTATCAAAATGAAATTAACAGTTATAAAATACATCATGTGAAAGCTGTTAATTTTATTTTGATCTAACGATAATAAAAATATTGTAAGAGATTGTGACGGAAAAGAGATTGTACGTATACCCTCACCAATTTTCAGTATATATAATACATACTTTCTTAATAAAGTTAAAAATAAGTAAACTCAATAGATGAATCATGTTTTTGTAACTAGGGTGTAATACAAAGTCCTAGTTAGTATTATAAGAGTACTGAAAATTTATCTCTTTAATTAAATAAGCTTTCGTATCAGACTAGAATTTTTAAAACATGAGGTCCAAGTTAAAAGAATATATATATATATATAGTTTAGATGAATAAACCCAATTTTAACCGGGTTTTGATTATGACTCGTTTAATTGAATTTTGACTTGATTTAACTGATAGCCAAGTCACCGTTTTCAGACTTGATTAGCAGGATTATCCAGTTTTGACAATTATATTTTAAACTTTTAAAAAGCACTCCTACTAAAAAGTATGGATTATGAAGGGAACTTAGAGAGGAAAAAAATTTATTTACAAAATAAAAACAAGTTAGACTCGTATATCATAGACATGTTTTATTATTTCGGTTATACCATTAAATTCCTACAAAAAATGATAATATAATTACAAAACATAATTAAATATAGAAATAATATACTTTTTTTTTTTAAGAGCAGTTAAAATATATTAACTTATGACAAATTAAAAAATCATATATTGTCACAAATAAGTTTATATTTGAACTGCTATGATATGAAACTGTTCATATTTAATGATATACACCTAAGTGCATTTAAGAATTTTTGTTTTTCATGACTTTTATTTGACCCACATTCACAATACATCATTAATCTCATCGTCAGGCGACAGCCATGCACGACTATTTTATGTCTCACGGCATGTACAATTGATTTTCAATGTAATTCCCATCCTGCCACGGTATCCAACAGTGTCCAAATCTTAATGTTCGTTTTTGCCACTTTAATTATTTTTTTGAAAATCACACGTACAACATTTTGCATAAAAATAATATTAATTTGTAATAAGAAACAACGATCATTTGATATATTAAAATGAGGAAACTTTAACTAATAACATTTTTTTTCACCATCTCTTATAATTATTTTTATTATTGTTTTACTAAATTAAATCAACAATTATAAAATAATATCGAATGATAATCGTTATTTAGTTTTATGTAACGTAACAAAATGGTTAATTAAAACTGAAAAAATTTCATTCGCGAGTTACAACTATATATCCCCGTCCACAAGATTTGATTGGTCTGCCTCTGCTCTCCACATGGCATCTCTACGCATAATTTTTCTTTGTCGCGTGGATTCTAATATTAGTTTTCCATCAAATTAATAGAGGTATATAAATGATAAATAAATAATATACAGTAACTAAAAAAATTGTGTTACAATAAAAAGTTTGTCTATCTTAAAGTTAAAACATCTTACTTTGATTATATAATATCTTTAAATTCAGTTCATTTCGTATAAAGTGAGAAAAATTATTATTATGAAATTTATTTACTAAGAATATTATTTACGTACAAGTCACGTGGGAGATAAATTTAAAAATGGAAATATTCAATATTATAGTATAAAACATTTATTTGCAATTATAGCAACAAATTGATATTTTTAAAGTTATTTAAGTAGGAACTGAAATAACATAACAAAATATATAAATGACCATTGATATAAATGACCATTGAAGTTCAAAACTAAATGACCAGATACTAGTAGGAGTGTTAACGGGTCGAGCTAAGCCGAGCTTTGGTCTTAAAAGGTTAACCCTGTATTTAAATGTGTTAGCCTGATCGATCAAGCATATTACCTGTTATGAATATAATTATCGGCATGTGACCTGATTTATTTACAAAAAATGAAAGCCTTATTTAGCCTGTTTAAAAAAATAAGATAATAAAAATTTATCCAAACAGAATGTACAATCAACTGCACTAGTAATTTTATAAATTCAATGTATATCCAAACAGCATAATATAGAACAAAATCATTCAAAAAGTATGTTTAACCAATAAAATGAGATGAAATAGATTGAGGAGAGAGGGGGGTTATTACAAGTAGTATAAAAAATA